TAGTTCTCTTACATATTTTCTTATTGAAACTTAAATAGCTTCCTTGGAAACAATATTTATCACTTACTGAATAAAAATACAGTTTGAAATAAGGTTCAATACCCTAGTCATATATTTCATTGACTAAAATTCATGATCAAACTGGAAAATGACTATTATATATTCTGTCTCAAAAATTAGTCTTATAGATTGTTTTCTTAGCATATCTCTAGTGGTTTCTGCAAATACTTCTTGAGGTTTAGTATACTCGTTAGAATTTGGCTAGTAATGACAGACCTAAGTATATGAGAATGAACTTATCTCCACAGTCAATTCAGGGTGTTGATAGGGGCTCAACCTGTTAAATTCCACCTAGTATCAATTGAGAATAGATTTAAAATCAAGTCATGGTGCCAGCATCTTTCAACTCTGCCTTTTGGATTTTTAGACATATTGGAAGGAAACTTACACAGTGGTCATTACTGAGCTGCAAGTGAAAATTACTTGTGGTCACCACTCTTTTAACATATGGTGTAAATTTCTCTAGAAATCTGGCCAGTACATCGTGGTCTAATTTGAACAAATAGCTATTCTTTACACAAATAACAATTACACCATATGCTTCTCTCTTCTGTAGGCTGGTGAGCAAATTCATGTCAGTCTCCCCCTGTCACAGCAAGTAGCCAATGAGAGCCGCCTCTCCATGTCAGAGTCTGTCTCTGAGTTCTTCGATGCACAAGAGGTCCTCCTGTCTGCAAGCTCGTCAGAGAATGAGGTAAGGTTCCTTGATGTGTCAACACCAGCTGCTTCTGACTGTGAGTTTGGGTTAAAGAAAGTAAGACTATGGAACTCTTTTTTTTTTTTAAACATCATAGTAAGATGTCCAAATTGTAGCAAAGCCCAAAGCATGCAAACTATATTGGTTCCCATTTACTGAGCACTAAGCACTTCTGGATGTCAACTTTTATTACTCTTAAATTCGATGAATAAAAGGAAAGAATCAAGCATTTATTCTGGCATTCTTGTACGATTCATATTTCAAGGTAACCAAATAGTTGATGACAGAACTGTTTAGCTAATAAATGTAGAGAGAACAAGAGAATTAGAAAATCACCATTCATGCTCGCACATGCACACATGCACCCAGACGTATGTGTGTGTATGTACATATATGTATGTGTATATATGTATACATCTTTGCCAGAGACATGAATCTGAGCTTAGAAAGCTAGTGTCTAGCATATCTAGTTGGGTAATTATGGTTGTTGGAGGCTACCATAAAAGCTTTATTGGATTTCTTTTCATGTGCATGAGTCTTGGAAAGGTCTTAGAAACAGGGAATCTCTTCCTTGGTCAGGTTGCAGAAATTAATTCTACTGAAATTTAGTCAAGTATGCTTTGATTTTTTTTTTTTTTTTTTTGGCATAGGGAAGCAGCCAAAACTCTTTCCTACACAGTTGATTAGGAATTTTGTTATTTGATACTGCAGATCTGTACTGCATTTTTACAAAAAGGAAATGAAATAGTTGCTAAATGTTATTTCCATATGCATAGAAAATAGATTGGAAGGAAACATCCTGACAATTAGTAGTAGTTGTTTTTGGATGTTTGGAATTATGAGTGATTTTAGAAACAAAAATAAATGGAAAAGAGAAAGAAATAATGAACACATGTCACTTCTGTAATGGAGGAAAGGTAAAACAGAATTCATGTATCAGGTACTGAATTTGTTACCACACCAAGCCATGAACCTGCCTCTCAGTTCCCAAGTCATGCATTAACAGATTCACAGACTCCCATTCACAAGCCAGAGTACTAGTTTCATTATTCATAATGATAGTGGATGCTATCAGATGGACAAAATAATTACGCTCGCTGATTAGTCTCTTTCCCTGTAGGCAAATCTGCATGGGAAGCTTAATTCTAGTCAGGAGGTTGTTTGGTGAGCAAGGAAGGAATGGGAGCAGGAGACGTGAGTTGAGTGAACTTAAGGCTAGGAGGGCCAGGGTGTAAGAGCTCCCAGCTTTCGTCTCCATCACAGGGACACTCTGCCACGTGGATGGCATTTTCGTGTCTGTGAGCCAATCTCTGCACCTCCAGGGACCACCATGCTGGAGACGTGCTGCCAGCATCTTCTTTTCTGACTCTCCCTTTTCTGAGCTCCCATTGCTGACCAGTCCTTCATCTTTCTTCAATCAGGTTACAGTCAAACTTGACTCCACATTATCTGGGCTCTGCCCCATCATCTGATGACTTTATAGCCTGTCTCTCTGAGAGTGACCTAATTTCCTTATTTCCAAGTTCTTGGGGGCACACCCAACTGGGTGCCACTTGTACCAGACACTGACAATACAGAAATAAGAAGATGTGAAGCAGGTTATTGCACGAGTCCAAGCAAGATGGTGTGCTACCCCCCAGAGAAGAGTGACCCTAGAAGAGGGACAAGGAAGTAGGGGACAGGGGCGTGTGGAGATGGATACATTCACTTTGAGGCATTGTGAGTTTATCAGACCTCTCAGTGGGGTTGTTGGGCCAGCATTTAGATATTCAAGTCTAAAGCTCAAAGAGAGAGCAGATCTGAAGAGAGAGTGAGAGTTAGGTCAGGATCCACATAACCAGCTGACTGTGAGACATTGCCACCTGCCACAGAACCTCTAACTCCGCATGTCCAAAAATAAAGTAATCAACAAACCCCTTCCACACACACACATCCCCCACCCTAAGAAAAAAAACACAAACCTACCCACACTTCTTATCTTGCTTATCCAAGTGCTCTTGTACCCACGTGTTCATATCAAACACCGGAATATTTCCCTTCACTCCTGCCTTACTTCCACCACCCACACTGATTTACTCATTGGGTTCTATAACTTCAATCACCTGAATACTCTCAGATCCATACATTTTCCTACAGCTTCCCTGCTACCATCCAATTCACTCCTCCATCGTCTCCCCACCTCGGTCACCCTGTCAGTCCCCATAACCAGTTTTCCTGCCTTTCTTCTTGCCCCCTCTAATCCATTTTCCACTGGGTAGCCTGATTAATCTTTCTGAAATGCAAATCTGGTTGTGTCCCTATTCCCCAGTGTCCTTAAGATAACTATCTAAACTCCTTAGCTATCATACAAAGACCATTATAATCAGATCTCTGCTCTCAGCTGTGGCCTCTTGCAACCTCTATTCTTCTGGAGCCTTCCAGGGGCCAGAGGAGTGGTTCCTGGAGTTGTCAATTTGCTAAAGATCCCCCATGTCCCTTGCTGAAGTAGAGAAAGTGACTCTCTCCTACAACCCACATTGGAAAGAACTGATTCCATGTGCCCTGTATCTTACAGTTTTTCATAAAATGAATATTTTTACTTAAATCTTCTCCCTTTATCACAATGCTCAGTCTTAAGTATTTCAAGATGCTAGGCCAGGAATAAACCCAAGTGGCAGACACGATGTTCTCAGAGTCATTCTTCTCCTTCGGCTAAGACTGGTACTGTGTCAACCTCAGCTGCCCGAGTCTCTAAATTCCCTTGTGATGAGACCTCCAGAAGATTCCTTGAGTCTTCACACCAACACACTTAGCAAGTCCACCTAGCTAATGTACTGTACATGAGTGAGTCCTAGCAGTGGCTGCAGGGTCGGCTCAGGCTGCATATTCTGCACTACATCTACCAGAGGTGGTTGGGCCTCTGCACTTGCCGTCCACTCTGACTGGAACATTTCCAGAGAGCCACACATTCCAACCCCTCACTCACCTCAGTCTACTCAAAAGTCACCTTCAGAGAAGCCCACCCTGGCTGCCCTATCTACAAGTTAGAGCTACCATTTCCTCCACTCCCCTGATCTTTCGTATTCCTCTTCCTTTCTTATTTGTTTTCCTTAATACTTATCACTATCTAACAAAATACATACTCCATATATTTCACTTGTCTGTTGTGTGTCTCCCCCACTAGAATGTAAGTTCCATGAGGGCAGAGATTTCACCACTGTGTCCCCAGCACAAGAGCCGTTCTGGTGAGCCCAGAACAGGTACTCAATAAATATTTGCTAAGTGAATGAAGGAAGGAATGCTTACAGCACCTTAACCCATGATTAATCTGAGAAACATCTGGGCATTAGCTGTCTTACATTAACATTTTCCATGACTGAGAGAAAAATCCTCTTTATGTGATCTCCACCAATGCACCTCACTTTATGAATGCTCGGCCCCTTTAGAAAATGCTCTTCTTGCTTCCAGAATGATCTACTTCCTTGCCTCTGCTTTGAAACTTGTTTCTGCAATGCTACATGCCTGGTCACATTTAGAAAAAAATATTTCCTGAACTCTTTTGAATCCCTAAGCTCTTCAAGAGAAATATTTGGCCCCAGGACTTCTTAACCATGGGGAGAAAACAAATATATATTCAATGTTTATTACTTCAGAGCCTTAACTTTAGATACAGGATAACGGGAGTGGACCACAGCCCAAGTGCCCAGCCTTAGCTACTGCCCACACATATGGTAATACAGATCTTACTCCAGGGCCACTGTCATTGTAGAATTCTTTTACATCTACGTGGACCATTCTACATCCACATGGGTATTGGACCATTTCTATCATATATTAGTTTGGGGGAGATTAGAAGCTGAAGAGGAATAGACTGTTTATAGCTTTTTGTAGGATAAACATGACTGTTTGCTTAGCAAACATTCAAACAATAAACATGCATGCAGCATGAATTTGGTTCAGGCACACATGTGTCTCCTCTAACAGAATCCGGTGTGATCAGCTTTTTTCAGAGAAATCACGTGGAAGAGTTTGCTTTACCTTTTTTTTCTCTCAAGCCCCAGTGGGCGGGTTTCATGAGCCTGATGTTTTAACCAGCAGCTCTGCTGCAGTCAGTGGGAACTGGAAGCTAGTTGCAGAGGGAAAATATGAATCAGAAAAAGACTTTATTCTCAATTGACCATCTTTATAGACTCGCTCAGTGTGCAGAAACAACACTACCATGATTCATTTATACACGCAATCATTCTGTCCATCACTCTGTTCTCCCTGAATATATGAGCTTTTCTCAACTCTAATTTTACAAACATCAGCAATACATCCAGAAAACTTAAAGGCAGAGACTGATTGTTTTTATTACATACAGTTTTAAAACTTTTACATGGCAAAAAAAAAAAAATTGCATAAACAATGTTAAAAAATAAATTGCAGACTAAGAAAAAATGCAACCTCTATGACAAACTGAAAAATGTGTGAAAGATAAGAAAACAAATTCACAAAAGATGAAATCCAAACTTTAAAAAGAGGTTTTTTGTGTATGTTAGGTAGATAGATACTAAAAAAGATTGATAATATATGGTGTTGAAGTGGGTGTGGAGAGAGAGATACTCTCGTATACTGCTGCTGAGAAGAAATTAATACAGTCTTTCAGGAGAACAGTTTGACAACATAGGACTAAAGCCTAAAAGTGACCCATTTGATGCAGCAATTTCACTTCTAGGAATAAATCTTAATGAAATTTCCAGACAGATTCACAGAAATATATTTACAAGGATGTTCACCCAGATATTGTCTATAATAATAAAAAGTTAGAAACCACTTAAATGCTGGTTAAATTCCTTGTGTCATAACCATCTTATGAAATAAGTTGCCATTCCAAATAAAGATGAAGAGCTATATGTATTAGAATGGAAATATATACAGAACACTATAAAACAATATGTAAACTGATCCCCTTATTCAGTATCTAAAGACAGATGTATCAATATGTTTGTATAGGCATTTTGAAATTGGGGGTAACACTCACCAAATGTTAAAAGTGATCTCCTGTAGGTGATGCGATTAGGGGTGATTTTCATATCATCTGTTTACCCTCATGTAATTTCTAATTTTTTACAATAAGAATGTTTCGTTTTTATGTTCAGAAATAACATAGTGCTATTTCCATTTTGAAGAAAGTAAATAAGTATCAGCAACTTTCTTGCCTGCAGTAGAGACATTAGTTTTTCCCATTTTCTGAATGGCTCTACCGTACTCCTCTGTTTTCTTATCTGCTCCATTTCTAAGTACACATGTTGCCTCTAAATTTTATTCTCATGCAAATTTTGGTTTCATTTTAGTTCCATGTTTTTCTCATGTAGAGAGTAGCTTAATTCTTTATTTCTCTCTGTCCCTAAATCTTCCTGCCCCAACCCCAAATAATCTGCCAAATTTTGTCCATTATACTTCAAACATGGCTCTCAAAGAGCCTTTACCTCTGGATCCTCATTGTGGCCATCTTAATCTAAGCTGTCAGTATTTCTTACTCGGATCTATGCAGTATCCTATTACCTGGCCTCCTTAAAAGCTGTCAAGTACCTTCCTGAAAACTAAATATGACTCTATCATTCCCTTGCATTTAATAACTCACAGGATTATATGTGAACCCTGTATGCTGACATGAAAAGCCCTTCACGGACAGACCTTCTTCTTGTTCACCCCAACCTCTGTCACAGTCACTCAACTTCTTAGCTTTCCTAGAATAAATGTTTCTCTCCTGGTCCTTGCCTTTGCACACTCTGTCTTCTTCCTCTGCTGCTCCCGCTTCTAACAACTTCTCTAACCCCCAGTTCAAATATTATTTCCTCTGGGCAGCCTCTCCTGACTCCACTAGGGGGAGTCATAGGGCCTCCTTTACTGCACATTCTTACTGTATTATATTGAAATATTTCTAGTTATGTACTAGCCTCCCTCAGTCTCCCACCCCAACTAGGTACAGGGAGCTATTTAAAGACGAGGGCTGCTTTCAAGCAATCCTATATTCTGGCTCACAGAAGACCCTCAGGTGTTCATTGCACATATACCAAATACATTTCCCACTATGACCTCTGCTCCTCATTTGGGCAACATCTTGTTGTTTTCAATCATTTGATTTTCTGAACTTTCAAGACTTAACAAGAATTCTGATCCTTTCTATGTTCTTTCCTTCCTTAGGCTTCAGATGATGAGTCGTACATCAGTGATGTGAGTGATAATATATCTGAAGATAACACCAGCGTCGCAGACAACATTTCTCGGCAAAGTATGCATTTCTTTGAGCTTCCAGGTTGTTCTGTCTACATGCCAAAGCACAATGCTGGTGATTCAGTGAACAATCATTTTCCCCCCTCACTAATTGTTCCTTTTGCAGCTGGTTGTTCAATAGATTTTCTGTTGAGATAAATGGTTGAAAAATCTGTTAGGTATATGGTTAAGTGAAAAAGTTTTACTTCTTGCTTAAACCAAAAGTTTGAGTCCTTCTTATTAAATATATTTAATTTTTTAGAATCTGACTTGTTTGTTCTTGAATAAGATTTGTGTATATTTAATACCTTGTTTAAAGGTACGCTTGTGTTTTATGCATTTATTAACAACCTTGTACTGAAATAATTTTTGAGAGAGTATAATGAAGGCTTAAGAAATGTATCACAGTCAGAATTATTTGAAAGGGTTATTTCCCTCTCAGGTTATATGAAATCAGAAAAGCGAAGTATCTATCATTGTGATTCTCGTCTTTTTCTCACTTTCAGTCTTGAACGGGGAGCTTACAGGAGGGGCCTTCCGAAATGGACGTCGAACATGCCTGCCAGCTCCCTGTCCAGACACCGGTAACATTAACCTCTGGAACATCTTGAGGAACAACATTGGCAAAGACCTATCTAAAGTCTCTATGCCTGTAGAGCTAAACGAGCCACTGAACACTCTGCAGCATCTCTGCGAGGAAATTGAATACAGCGAGCTTCTGGACAAGGCTTCAGAAACTGACGATCCTTACGAGCGCATGGTAATAAATAACAGAGCAGTGCTCTTCGGGGATTTGTCAACCTTAGACCTGGGCTAGGGCAGAATTCACTATGCTGGCATATTTGCATAACGTTCTCTCTGCTTGGGTAAGAGAGGAATCGGTCTATTTGCATGAATTCTACTGGAAGAGATACTTTGTGACTTATCCTTGGTTCAGAGTGTTTCTGAAGTTAGGATGGAAAGGTGTCACACTCCTTACAGGTTTAAGGCATGCCTGGCCTTGCTTTTTCAGCTTTTCCTGAATTCCAAAAGAGCCCATTTGTCCAGGAACTTGGGTCTGAGAAAGTAACCTGTTTGTGCTTTGCCCTGGCCTCTACTCCACATGACTGTGGAAAATCTGACCTGCCCTCTGAAAAGCACCAGCAGCCATCACCCTTCTGCACATGGCGCTAAGATTGTGCAAATGGCATAAGCTATAAAATGGGTTTCAAAAACTGAGCTCTGTGATACTCAGGAAATTGGGTGGACAGGTGAATGAAGAATATTTGGCCTCAGTTGCCTGCTGGTTCTCATACGAGGGTTTAGCCTCATTTTCACTTATTTTTTTCCCCTTGAGTTTATGAAGAGTCTGTGCAAATAACAGAAAATGCAGATGCCATCAAATCAGCACCTGTTGACGGGGGCGTGTAAAATCTAGAGGAATTGGGCCAAACAGACCTGGAAGCAGTCTCTCCTATATTATTTTCCTTTCTTGAATGTTTTAACAGGTTCTTATTGCTGCATTTGCAGTTTCAGGATATTGCTCCACCTATTTCAGAGCAGGAAGTAAGCCATTCAACCCTGTCCTTGGGGAGACTTACGAATGCATTAGAGAGGACAAGGGATTCCGCTTTTTCTCAGAACAGGTATGTCCCACTGGACTCAGGGAGGTCTCTGTGTAGGTAGGAGGGCAGTACGATGATGAAAATAGCTTTTTGATAAACCTCCATTTGGGTGGGTTATGATACCAGTTAACAGAACACTCACTTAGATTATCTATATAATTGTCCACTCTTAAGTTCTCTGTGTTTAAGCATGAAGTCTTACGAGTTCAAGATTCTGTAAGTTACTTATACATTTTGAGAAAAATTCACTAATAGAGATGGAGGGGTTGAGTAGTTTTTATTTGGAAGTAGCCAATATAGGTTGTAAAAAAAATTTTTGTTTATGAAAGTTTTAACACTGATGTCATTGCCTTCTTTTTTTGTTCTTGATTACCAGGTTAGCCATCATCCACCCATTTCTGCCTGTCACTGTGAATCCAAGAATTTTGTGTTTTGGCAAGGTTTGTGTCTCAGTTACAACTTAAAAATCCAATTGATGAGCCTATGAAACAATTTCTAGTTTCCAAAGGTACAATGTACTCAGTTTACATTTCTAACTTTGGAACTCAGAGAATGTTGGTAATTGGTGCAGAGTTCAATTTGAGAAATTAGATTTCCTGCTTTAAACATGAAACCATGTCATCTAGGAGATGAGATTGTTTATCTAGGAAGCAAAGCCCTTGCTAACTGTGCCAGCCCGGTGCTATCACTTTACCTCATTGTACCCCATTGTCTGCATCTATAACATACAAAAGGTTATATCTGCTGCCTTCTTGCTTCTTGAGGATGTGCAAAGAGATCTTAATCCTGAAGGAAGGCTCCACGGCACATCATCTGTGGTCACAGTCTATTTAGGTATATAACATTGCAGTGATTTCTGGTCTTTAACTCAGTGAGGTTCAGGGGTTTGGATTGAAGTCTCTATTTAATTAATGCCCATTGTTCAGTCAGAATGTGTTACAAACTCACCTAAAATAAAACATTTCAAAACCCCTTTAGAAATAAAAATATATACACATGGAAATTTGACCATTAAGTATAAATAGTTCTTCGTGTTTGGAAGGGTGCTTCATTGCTCACAGAATGACTCTTCTCATATGCACTTCCTCAGTCTGAAAACACAAAGTGATAGAGCACTGCAACTGTACTGTATTGCAAAATAAGAAAATAAATCATTTCTTGCTCATAAAAACGAGTCAGAAATTTTGTGGAGACAGCACTAAGCTCCCTTAGTTTATTAAAATGGGACCAGGCAGTTGTTATTATGAATGCACAGGTAAACCTAAGTTTCCACAAGTAAAACATGAAACCATCATGTGAGATAAAATGCTGGGCCCTGGGCTGTATCTTAACAGTGTAGGAACATGTTAGTTAAGTTAATCCCACTTTCTCATAAATCTTACCTATCTGTATTTAGAGATTTTATTTTTGTACTGTTCTCCCAAATCATATATATAACTCTTAGAATATGTATATAAATCAGTGGTATTGCCATATTGCAATTATTTTTACTATATACCCCATTTTTTTATACATATGTTAACTATTTCCATCTTTAGTTAAAACTTATAACAACATTTATCTAGACATTAAAGCACAGTAGAGTTATGCATGTATGTGAATATATACACTTACACACACATCTTATTCCAGGATTTTCCTAGTTTTATTAGTTGAAAACAAACATGGAGCATGTATTATGGAGAAACATAAATTGTAGATTTTTTTGGTTCACAGTTAATCTTTTCACCTTGTCCTGTCCTTAGGCACTTGTCATGTTAAATCAACAGTATAGAATCAATTGTGATTACAAAAGTTCTTTGTAACATGTAAAGTGTAATACAAAAGTTAGTTTTTATAGAATAAATGATTAGATATGGAGTATATATTTCTTGTCCTCTGCCTATGTCATTTAGATATCAGATGGAAAAACAAGTTCTGGGGGAAGTCAATGGAAATCCTGCCTGTTGGAACACTGAATGTCATGCTTCCAAGGTAGGTTGCTTTCATCTTCCTTTTGGTCCCTTATCTGCTTTCCTAACTCAGAAATGGGTATGTGAAACTCTGGAAAGTGCCAAGGGTCCATTTCCCTGTATGGCCAAAGCTTCTGTTAACTTCATTGAAGTTTCGAGAATGGTCTCCCACAAAAGCAAATGAGAACTTTAGCATGTGTATCAAAGCTTCCTATTTTTCTCTGCACATCCTCCATTCATCAGTCAACACCAGGTCCCTACCTATCCCAGTCACTTTGTTAGTTTGCATTTTATATGACAGGTTCTCTTTTTTAGCCATTTATTTTCTATACAATTTATAATATCACTTTTGAGTTAATCTTGGATTAAGGGACTATTTTTCATTTCTAAGTCATTTATTAAGGAAGAGTGATGGAATCCTTATATGGTTGTTTTCTAGAGGATATAGCCTATAAATCTTGTTAAATTAATTTAAGTTTTCATTGAGGCCAAAGGCTTGATTAGGTTTTTTTCTGTCTTCATTTGGTTGGTTTTGTTTTGTTTTTATCTATTTGAATGATAGAATTTTCTGATAGATTGGATATGGAGGAAGGTGGGGAGAGGCAAGAATTCCCAGGACCACAAAATAAACTTCCACTATTTGCAAACTTACGAGCAAGAAAGAGTTTTTCCAGGTGTATATAGTACCTACATCGTACCAATTCATAAATTTTTGGAAACTTAGAATCACTTTATTTTATTTTGAAATAACATTTTATTTGAAAGTATACATAATGTGTAAATGTGGTGTGAAGCTATGTCATGTCATTCCTTGGCAGAAATTCTGTAACCTTACTCCCCAGAATTTGCATTAGATGTGTGCCCTCTTAGTTATGCTCGTGAGTCTTTTCCCAAAGAATTATTCACATCTTTGGTCTTAACTCAAAGTATGAGACAACATCCTCGGAGTAATCTTTCTTAAATGTGTGCCCTCCCACACCTCTCTTCTCCCTCGAATCCTTCCACGATGGCCTGTTGCCTGCAGGGTCAATCCAGACTCACTGGTGTATCATTGAAGCCCTTCCCTGCTCTACCCCATGATACCTTTCCAGACTTTCCTCCCACCACACCCACTCACCTGGAGCACACCACTTGCAGGTCCCCAGATGCGTCATGCTCTTCCTGCCTCTGATACTTTTCCCTAACCTGTAATGCCCTCCTATCCATCCTCCAAGCTTAGACCAAACCCAGCCTCCTCTAGCAAGTCTTCCTTGACACTCACCCTGCATTCAAGGCAGATCTAAGGACTAAAGACTCCCCTTTTTGTGTTCTCATGAAGCTTCCTCATCATATTTTATTATAAGTATTTGTTGACATATACTGACCATATTGTTGGCTCCAAGAGAGCAAGAAACATGCCCTACTCAGCGCCTGGTCTATAGAAAGCACTGAAATGTTCCTTAAATGAATGAATCATGTCATAAATGTACTTGACCACATAGAAACTTTCAACAGAGAAATGAAAGGAAAATGAGGGAAAAGGAAACTTTGACCAAAGAATATTCCCATAAGTCGAAACAGTAATACATATTTGTGACCTCCACTGTTGTTAATCCGTGCTGTATTCTTCACCAGGTATGGAGATTGCTATGTGTGGAATAAAGTCACCACGTGCATACACAACATTCTCAGTGGGAGGAGATGGATAGAACATTATGGAGAAGTAACCATTAGAAATACCAAAAGCAGTGTTTGCATTTGCAAAATCACATTTGTCAAGGTAAATAATATCTTACAACGGTAAAGAAGAAATAGTATAATATGCTTCCTAGGGAAGAAGTAAAACAGTTACTTTAAACAGCAGCAAGTGAGTCTGTCCTTTATCATGATCCTTAAGGATATTTTAGATAAGAAAGCAGAACCAGCTCATGGAGTTCCTCGAGGCATGCAGACTTCTGAACATGTGGAGGTCAAAAAAGGCACTATCTCAAAATAGGGGAAAAAAAAAATCTTTTTAAAGAATTTTCTTTTTAAGCAACCATCCAGTAGTTCATTAAGTAAAATTCCATAAAACACTTCTTGCCTATAGCAAGTCTTATGGTTGATGTTTCTATTTCTATTTCTGCTTGATTACAACATATTCAAGTGCTCTTATTTTAAGGAACTAATTATAATGCAGTTGTCAATTTCTGAGGATGCATGTAGATGAGAGCTTCCAGTCACTATGAGCTTAGCCAACTCTGTCACTATTCTAATCCAAATAAGTTCAAGAAAAAGCATTACCTTTATTAACAAGAAAAGATGCCTGGAATAGAAATGCCTACAGAACACCATTTTCCCTCAGTCTCTCTGGTCTGAAGTGGAACACACAGTGTCACCCCATGTTTCTTTCAATGTGCCACAGAATTCAACACGGTACAGAAACTCCACCACCCCCTTTATGTTTTCTACTCCTGATCTCATTCTAATATGGTAGAAACAAGTAACTTACTGGAGTTTTGAAGCTCAAAGTTTTCTCTTCTTATTTAAATCCTTTTAAGCCATTTTGGGAGGTCATCTTAGTTTTAATTGAGTATCTTTATTTTGGCTCGAGATGTTTTTCTTTTTTTCCCTTTTTTCTGATAGATTCATTAGGTGGCTTAGAACTGACAAGCCAGGATCATTATTTGCTCTGATGGGTGATGACAGTAAATGCATGCATTTAGTTTTGTAGGCTCTGAGACACTTCAGTCTAGGCCTGCCCCTAATGTTTGCAGAGCTCTGGGCAAGAGGACAAATGGAAGTTCTTATTCCATAGGTGTCAATGTTTAAAATATGTAAATCAGGCCCACAAACTGTCAAATAAAATATGTTCTGTCCTTTCACCTTGACAAATAGACCTTTTATAAAAAAATTCCACAAGGCCAGGTTGGACACTTCAGAACTCCCTGCTAGAATCCTGGCAGGGCCCGAGATCCAGTTCTGGCCCTCAGCCTTCCCCACTGTCTTCCTACCTCCAGCTCTGTGCTGCACTGCAAGGGGCCTCACACACATGTATGTAGGCAGTCCAGCCTGCACATCCAAGCTCTGTCCACACCCCCCTCAAACAGCCACCCCTGGCCACCCCTCAGGCCTAAAGCTTCACACACTGGTGGTGGTCTGCCCTCGGATGGATGGATCCAAGCGAAAGGCCTGTGCAGGCTATGGAGTAAGCTTAGAGCTAACTGGACAGGGAATTCCAGGGTCCTGCCTACTTGGGGCCCGATCTAGAACAGGGGCCATGGATGGGTAAATTCCCAGACTTATCACCCTTTGGGGAGGAGTGTGGCTGGAAGAGGGCCAGAGCAGGGTCTTCATGATAAAATTTAGCCATTTACAGATACTGTGAAAATTATTTCACAAACTACTTCTACAGCATTGCCAATTTAAATTCATTTAAATCCATGAGCAAAGGGAAAATTCAAGGATTAAGGAAGAAATTCCTAACCTTATAATTAACACGAGGTTATTAGGATAGAAACAGCCTTCTCAGTGTTGTGCTGCCGTGCTATAATGGAGTAGAGATCATCCCTTTCTTCAAAGTTAAGCCAACTAACAACTAGAAAGCCAACCTTCCATATAAAACATTGTGAGATAGATTTCTGGAAATGGTTTGAATGAGGAACTTCAAAGTTAAGGAAATTTTTCCATATGGAAATTATAAGGATTGGTGTTATTAACGAGATTGGGTGTTTTGATTGGGTTTGTTTTTTTCCAGGTGAATTACTGGAATTCTAATGTGAATGAAGTCCAGGGGGTTGTGATGGATCAGGAGGGGAAGGCGGTGCACCGGCTGTTTGGGAAGTGGCACGAAGGGCTCTACTGTGGCGTGGCCCCTTCTGCAAAGTGCATCTGGAGACCAGGTGAGGTTGGCAGGAGCGTCTTGCCTCAGGAGGGCGCCATGAGTGACAGAAGGAAGGGAGTGTCAGATCACCCTGTGCAATTCACCTTATGTTTTCTGCAACAGTGAGATTAAAACCATAGATGCTTAAGGCAGTTATAGTTACATTTATACTTAACATATAAATTATATAAGTCCCAATATTTGATAATAATGAGTGGTAAAATTTAGGCCAAATCTGACGTGTGGTCAGAGATTGTGCTTCCTGTAAAATCGCTCTAAGTGTTATGCCTCTGTTTAAAAGTTAGGTATTTTTATTAAAGAGTTTAGATAATTGAAATATAGAAACTTAAATCTTTACTCATGTTATTTATTCTCTGTTTTAATAAAACAAAGGAAAGCCTGCACACATCTAAAATCCACAAATTCAATAACTTACCAGAATAAGTGATCTTTTCACTTGAGCAGCAAAAAGTTGCAATATGCTGACATTTAATAAAAGACATCAAGAGAGTTCTAGTAATATGCTAACATATAATTGAATATCGAGTATAAATAGAAGAAGTCTCCACATGACATTTATTTTTATTGGAATTTTGTCAGTGAAGCCCTAACTTTAAAATTAGTTGTTGGCTTCCTAAGAGACCTCAGTGAGTATTTAAATTGCCTGCTAGTAGAGTGGTCAGTTTGTTCATTCAGCAGTTGTTTACTGAATACTGAGTGTGCATCAGGCTGTGCTCTAGGAGCTTGGAATACATCAATGAGCAAAGCATACAAACATCCTGCCTTCAAGTTTAGTTAAAAAGTGCCAATAAATGTTCATTTAGATCTGCATCTTTTTCTTTCTAAAAGGAAGTAAGTTTGTGTTTCTGGTGAAATCTTTTTTTTTTTTTTAAAGATTTTATTTATTTCTTTTCTCCCCCAAAGCCCCAGTAGATAGTTGTATGTCATAGCTGCACATCCTTCTAGTTGCTGTATGTGGGACGCGGCCTCAGCATGGCCGGAGAAGCGGTGTGTCGGTGCATGCCCGGGATCCGAACCCGGGCCTCCAGCAGCGCAGCGCGCGCACTTAACCGCTAAGCCACAGGGCCGGCCCTCTGGTGAAATCTTAATGCTCATAGTTAATCACTCACATTTAGTTACCCAATTGAATATTTGAGAGAAAAATTATGGAGTAGTTTAGCCGGAAAGATACTATATATACATTTTTATATTATATATATAGTGTGTATAATATATATACAATATATATAATTTGAAAGGCTGGATTTTGTTAAATATATGAATCTATCAGTTCTGATAACATAAAATTTCCCATGTAGCAAAATATAACCAATTTAATTCACTTAAAAATTCATAGGCTAATGTTTATGACCACAGATTTGCTATTAGTATGGGTATTAATTAAGCACCCGGGTTAAGTCAGCTTCTACACATTCTATAAGCCTCTTTGCCTCTCACAATGGTTCACTGGCCTCATTCCAGGTTCCATGCCAACCAACTATGAGCTCTACTATGGCTTCACAAGGTTTGCTATTGAGCTCAATGAGTTAGATCCTGTACTAAAAGATCTCCTTCCACCGACAGACGCCCGATTTCGGCCAGACCAGAGGTGAGCATGTCAGTGGTAGTTAAAATGGACACTAGAGCATGACATGGTGCTACAGATGTCATCAAGACTTATTTTCAACACCATCATTTATTTATTCATCGAATCATTCATTGATTCCCTTATTCACTCAGCAGTATTTTCTACCCTAGGTAAAACAATATTCACAGGATGATCATAACCAGAAGATTAGCTCAACAGAAAGTTCCCCACAGAAGATAACAGAGATGTTTTTAACAAAACATTTCTGCCCACCACCCCACCCCCAAATTTACCAAAGGTTTGCAAATTCGTGAACTCTCTCTCCACTAAATACAGAATCAATCCTTGCCCAGTGTTTTTCCCTCTTTACTTCTATCACTCTGTAACAGGGAGTATCTTTTACACTGAAGAATAAGAGGATAAGTCACAGAGGCACCTAGAAATGCTTGGAGTCAAAGTTTGGAGTTTACCTGATGTGGTTTAATCCCACAGCGTGTGAGATGTACTCAAAAGACAGTCCCTTTAATACCTTCTGATTCTTATTGTTTATTATTCTTATATGGTTCTGTACTCATGTTGTCCATTCCTACAGAACTAATTTTACTGTTTCCAAAAATTCTATATGCCGTACAAATTCCATCCAAGATCATTTTCTGTTTCCAGTGTATTTGTGGCTTTCTCTGTCTTCTGCCAAAATGATCCCAGTATTGAATGTTCTACTATTCAGTTCTCTTATATTCCGCACTCTCTAGAATCTGTAGTCTCACTGTTTGACGTTCAAATTTATCAGTAAACTTCCTGTACAATATGTATCGTATTGAATCCCTGTTCTTTGCTCTCGTTTTAAAATTTAAATATTTGCAAATCACCATTGGGTCTGCTTTTTATTTCTCAATTCTTTTTCAATATTCCCTTTCTGAATTTCATGTACGATTCATTTCCTTTCTGTGGCCTTTTATAATTTTCCCCAACTGTTACCTTTTCTTTTTTTCATCAGTTTTACACTCTCCAATAAAACAGGAAAACTCCTTCCCTCCCAATCTGTTCTAAAAGTAGATGGAGAACAGTCAGTTACCGTCTTCCATTCTGTGACCTTTAACAAGGGCTTTTTGATAAGAGAGAAAATGGGCACAACCTGGGACTTCATGCTTTTCTAATCCCGGACTCTCCACTCGTCCTGAAAACATCAAGTTGTAGAACCCTAGACAGCCCGGAAAAGTCTTCAAAGCCAGACCACTCACCTTTCACTCGTACCTTCCTGTTGCTATACGCAATAATTCAGTTCACATACACAGAAAATATGTTCATTGATGGGCAGGCAGAGGTGTGGCCTGGGGCAGGGGTGAGGGGACATTATCAGAGTGTTACTGTTCACTGTGTTATGCTCACAGCAACCAGAATATAATTTTATGCAAATGAGATTCTTTTTTCTCAGAAAAGAGGATAATATATTAAAAGATTAACTTCTTTCTGCTTAGATTTTTGGAAGAAGGAAATTTAGAAGCTGCAGCAGCAGAGAAGCAAAGAGTAGAGGAGCTTCAGAGATCTCGAAGACGATACATGGAAGAAAACAACCTTGAACATATACCCAAATTTTTTAAGTAAGTCAGTTCATTCCCACAACCAGTTCATGTCTTGCAGATGGTCGCCACAAGCAATGAGAAACTCCAGGTGAAGAGAAAATCAGGGATAGTTTAGTGTCCAGGGAACTTAAAGGTGGAAAAATTAAACTAATTTTGGAAACGGGTTTCAGCAGTGAAAATATTGAATCAGATTTTGCATCTGTGAAAAGTTTGTAACCATAAAAATAAATTCCCCTCGACAGCTCGTTTCTTTTTGCGGCAGCAAAAGAGTGAGGGTCTTGCCCAGAGTGCTCTTTATCCCTCAGCTGCACCCTTTAGAATGGGAGGAACCTGTTCCCACTCCTTCACTCAGCGACAAGATGGGCCCCACTGCCCACAAGGTCGTCCTGGCTTCATTAGTATTTAATTTTATTTCTGTCACATGGAGCTTATGTGCATTCAGATTTGGTCCCTCTGTGGTGTGATCGTAGGTGATTATTACAGGATTATTTGCAGGACTATATATAAATCGCACAGATTAATCTGTAGTTTCCAAATCCATCTATTGCCCTCCAGAGCCAGGACAAATCAGCTCTGAATAATCTCATATCCTTTATAGATGCCATCTCATGACCGGCCTGGGCGGAAGTGCAGGCTTGCCCTGTAGATGTTGAGAGAGCACTCTGTGGACATGGACCCTGCAGAGGCTCTCAGAGCTACTGAGGGTGCATACTTTTCTCCACAAGGGAAGCAGAGACTGTTCTTGTAGGGGTAGGGGCCCGAGGTTCTAGTTACAGTCTTTCCACACTCCACTTTCTAGCTCTGCCTGGAGGTGATTTATTCTTACCCTCAGCCTCTGTCCCCATGACCCTATCCACTTCTATTTCAAATGTTTAACAACAAAAATGTGTTCATTTCTGTCAAAAATCAATAAGTCATCAATAAGTAGATAGGACACTAACTGGCTGACGAAGTCCTATGTATGTGTACATGTCTTATCTACAGGAGAGGGTCTGATCATTAGGTCACCTTGATGTGATTTGTGTCTAATGTTGATTTATATATTTTCACAGAAAAGTGATTGATTCCAATCAAAGAGAAGCCTGGGTTTCTAACGACACCTACTGGGAGCTGCGAAAGGACCCTGGGTTTAGCAAAGTAGACAGCCCTGTTCTTTGGTAAACTGGGAATGTAGAACTAGCCAACATATCACGCTCTGAATGAATAAATAACTATGCACAATTATGTCTCTTAGAGCTCTGCGTGATTTCCGGGTCTACTGAAAACCGACCATTTGCTTTTCTACCCATCTTGATAATGGACTTTCAGAAGTGCATTAGACAATGCCCCTAACCACTCTTGGATCCTTTCTGTTTTGCTGCAACCATATTCCTTAAAAACACATCCACACCCTCCTCGAAAAGCAGAATCAAAGGAGCAGAATACAAAAATCCAAAGTCTGAAGAGTTTGTAAAGAAAAACCAACTGTAACTGGTGCTTCAAGCTGATCCAGAGAGTTTAAAGCAACATGACCTATAAACCACGCGTTTGGCCCTCTTTCTAGAAGCGCCATTCCCTCGTCGTAGGAGCTCCTGGGCCACGGCAGTCGGTCAGCTCAGACTTCGAGCGTGTCTGTTCGATGTGGTGTGCTTGTGCTAGCCTTGTCAAAACAGCCGTGATGCTTCTCAGAACCTGTTCCATCTGTACACCATTGTTCACGCCTTAAGAAATGCGAAGATGTACAATAAATCATTTTTGAAATGTGTGCTCGTAGGTTTACGTGAAGGACGGATCTTTTGAATCATGGCATGATTCACTTTCTGGGATCAGAACAATTATGAGACTATCTTAAATGGATTTAAAAAAGTAAACAACATGTGCTTTACTTTGATACATTGCTTACTGTATCGGATAGTGAAGGGCAAGAAGGAAAAGGTGTGCTGAAGTAGATCTCTGTATTCACATTGCTCATCGAGTTCCTGTCCTACGTCCAGATAATAAACCGTCCCTCTTCTACCCAGACTCACAGTGTGCCCTCTTATTTGGCAATATCTGTATTTGATCTGAACACTTGGCATCAGTGTTAAAACCTTGGAAGGAAATAAAAAGCATATGGAATTTCTGTGTGGGTTTAGGAGTACTGTAACTGTGACTATTTTTGAGTGAAGCACAATGTAACCCACACCTCAATCCTATGCCCCACCCATCGGCACTAGTGGAATCCCACTGGGAACAGAAGCAAGAATGCTAGTAGCCTATTTGCATTGTTTAAATGAGTTCTATGCAAAACCATATTTTATATTTTCATCAAGTGATTCTGTATGATACATGACCACATATTAAGCATTTACCTTGCTCTTAGCAGAGAGATAAAATTCAAGCTAAGGAATTTATCCATCCCAACAAAAAAAGGGGGGGCAGAAATGTGTTTTGCATACTTCAAGATTTGTTTCTTCCTCCAATATACAGAGGCTTCTGTAGGAAACTTGCATCAATATTCCTGAGTTTCTGCATGTAGATGACTATATAAATGCCTGTGTGTTTTAAAAAAATCTCTTTAGAGATTTTCCTAGAGAATTATAAAAGTACATATATTTTATTCTTAGTTAGGTTTTTATTCTTAGATTCTTACCATCAGATTTTAAGTGTTACTTTAAACTCTGATAACAAGGTGACTGACATTTTACATTTTGTTATGAGATGTTGGTTTTAATGTTATTTCTCCTCAGCAAAGCATTCCTAGTAATGGCTGATCCACAATCAAACCGAAACTGCTGCTGAGAGCGAAGGGAAAACTCTGAAGTTTCCACTAGGTGGAGCAATATTTTAGTTATCCTAAAACTCATCCCTCCTTTGATCTGAGTCCATACATTATGTGTACAGTATGCACTGGTTTAGAAAGAAATTTCATTCCCAAGTAAATTCCCTCATCCATCACCAGATCTAAAGGTTCCGCTTCAGCAACCTCCCCCGCCCCAGACTTCTCAATGCCTTCAATTCCCATTTTAAATCTATAGGTGGCTGGCCCTGTGGTAGTAAGCTTTTTCCCTTGGTATCGATTCTTTTTCTGCTCATTCGTCTTGACATCCTTTTATCCGCATCCTGAAATACATGCCTTTAATTTTAATTATAATTTAATTAGAATTATATTGACTTCCTCAGAGAAGTCTGTTCTCCCATGATTGGTAAAGCTTTAAACACTATTTAAAGTGGTTCTGGTCTGTACTTATTGGCACTCCCTGAACAGTCTCAAAATACTTAGCCTAAAGATAAGAAAAGAATTCTGCAAAGTAAAGATACTACAAGTAGAGAAGCAGGAAGGTGAGGCATCAGGTGACCGACGCATATGCTATCAGGCAGCTGGAAGAGGACCTGGAACCTATTGGGAGCAACTACTGTACCTAGTTTTTGGGGTTGTAATTGAGAAAAAGATTAGCTATTAGAGAGGACCTTTACTAGATAACAAGGTTCCAGCTACAGTTCAGGTAGGTGAACGTTGGTCAAAGCTAACCTGAAACTCTGATTAGAATTTCAGTATGAGAAAAATGTCAAATGAATTAAAATCACCACATTTTATAACATCCCAGATTCCAAATCTTCAAGATTCAGATATCCTGATTAGACTTCCAATTCAAGTGATCAATTAAGTTGTAGAAAATACTCCTGTAATACCTGATTCACAAATCTCCCCATCGAATACTCCTATCTGTGTAATGGTCTCATCTCTCATTTCTTTTTTACTTTTTATTGGTATGGTAGTTACAGAATTGTGAGGCTTATTCCATTTGGAATTTTCACCTGCAAAATTTTGGGGCTTTTGCAACTAGTTTAAACAGCAAAAGCGTAGAATACATATTAAATCATTCTTGATAAAACCTGATTTATTTCTTAGAATTTTATATAAACCTTTTTATTTCGGGGCACTTTTCTTATTTGTTTTTATCTAAAATGGTCTAGAATAGAGCAGGACATAATATGTCTTTGTACCTCCCTTGTGATTTATTCATAAGCTCCTTCTGTTTGAGCTGGTCATTAAGGAAAGCAATAATAAGTGATGATGGTCTTGTGGATGTGGCTAGACTGAACAGATCGATGGCACACACCAGCACGTGTACAAGCCGACCAGAAACTAATTATTTTGCTGCTGTGTGCTGCCACCCAGGGTGCAAATTTACTCTCAGATTTTGCTGTTATTTTTTTTTTAATTAAGTCATTTTTCATGAGTTACTTTAAAATACCCCATAATTTCCAGGCAATTGTGAAAATAAATCTCATTTGAGATACTTTTTAATATTACATATCAATTATATGTGACATAAAAACCACCAAATGTATTTTCCAGGTAAGAGAAACCAAAGGGTTTCAGTACAAGGGATGCCAGGTTGTTAATTTCTCAAACCTTTTACTCCTCTTCATTATTCTGGCCCCGTGCCTTTCAGCGATTCCACTAATCAATCATTACATCCTGCCCCAAGGTGCAGTGGGGGCGGAGTTAAAGAGGAAACTGATCAAACTCTTGCTTAGTTCTGGTTACAGCTGTGGCTGGAGAAGAGTCTCTAATCATAATCTGATGTACATTTTTGTTATTACCTTGTGGATTTTAATTATCCATCTTGTCTAATCTTGCTCTCTCATCCTAGATAACGAAGTTTCTGTGGGAGCAGAGCTCCTCACACACCAGGGAGTATCATAAATGTTTGCACTGGGCTAGAGTCAGTATATTATGAATGTGGCACCGTAAATAAAGTTTGTGTACAAAATATTAGTTTATTTCTATGGGAGCCATTATGTTCAGGATATATAAAATGTATCTAATTAAACAATTATGAATCTACTTTGTGCTCTAGAAATATTCTTTTGGGGGAAAGATGGAAAAAATATCTTTGGAGCTAAGATTAAAGTGTTTTTGGTTTTGGCTTTTTTTTCCAAAAAGCTTCCCAGCCTAGAAATACTGCTTATCAAACCAAGATTAGATCCTCTAGGTTTTAATTGGATTTCTTTTGTAAAATTGATACAAACTATACATGGCATGAATCATCTTGTTAAACCTGGCTTTGTTTAACTTTAATACATAATTGTAAGAGCATACATTTGTGACTGAATTCTAAGACCTTCGTTGCAGCCTTTGCTCTTAGAGAAAATGGCAAATTATTTAAGAAACGTTTAGCTTTAATGCTTTCAAAATGAGATCTAACGAAGAAGGAATTCTTTAAAAGTTGCTGTGATGAACCAGCATGCCCGACATCTTAAGCAAATGAAGGCTCACGATTAAGACAGCTTAACAGGTGACAAAGTGGCAAAGCAATTACCTACCAGGCATAGGCATCCTTTTGTTCCCAAAACAACTAGGTGACTTGATTCATTTTCTCCTTCCTTCTGATCTTAACATAGTGAGGGGCAGGGATGCACATGTCTATCTTTCTGCACTGTGTCGTTAAGTGTTTGTAAAATACACAGGGTGATATCCCACCACAATTCTGGGCAAGACTGGTTCTCAGTGATCCGTTTCAACACCACCACTTGTGTCACCAACATAGGTCTGCACCAGCCTTTAGATTTTGTACATTTACTTCTAAGTGGTACCTGGATACCCAGGCACCTAACTAGCAGCTGTCCGGGCATGTGTCCAGGCTTGATTACCCGGGACGATGGCAGGGCTGGGAGCATTCCTAGCACAGCTTTTTCAGTCACTACTGTTCAGGGTCCTAGTACCAGCCTTGAGAGTTCAAAGTCATTTTTTAAATTCCTCAAAATTTTGCCAACATGGTTAATGATATTTAACAGAACACTCGAAACTCTTTAATTTTGTTCAGTGAAAAAGATGTTTTTCCACAGACAGTCTAGCTGAATTGGTGAAAATGCCTAAAGCTAGTATTATGTTAGAACCCCTTAGATTAATTTAGATGCTTTATTTTTAATTTGTTAGCATCTGTGACAAATCCTGACAACAAATCAATGTGGGTATTATTATCCACACTTCAAATTGGACAAATTCTGGAAGAATCTGTCTATCTGCAAAGAGCCATCTCACATTATACTGCCTTCTCAATAGTTTTGGGGAGCCAAAAGGAAGAATTCCTCAATAATTTTTCTAGCCAACGGAGAGAATTTGCAAAACTGCTAACTCATGAGTGACATTACTGATTTTAGACATATCCTAGACTCCACTTATATAAGTTAAATTATACTCAAAACTTAGGTCTATAGTTGTATTAATTTCCTGTTGGTGCTATAGCAAATTACCACAAACTCAGTGGCTCAAAACAACAGATTTTTGTTCTCTTACGGTTCTGGAGGCCAGAAATCCAAAATGAGTCTTGCAGGACTAAAACCAAAGCGTTGGCAGGGCTGGTTTCATGTGGAGGGTCCAGGGGAGAATCTGTTCCTTGCCTCTTCCACCTTCTGGTGCTGCCTGCGTTCCTTGGCTTATGGCCACATCACTCTAATCTCTGCTTCTGTGGTCACATTGCCTTCTCCTCTTCTACAGTCAAATCTCCCTCCTTCCTTTTACAAGAACACTTGTGATTATATTTAGGGCCCACCCAGATAGTCCAGGATAATCTCCCCATCTCAAGATCCTTAAAGTCATCATATCTGCAAAATCTCTTGTCATACAAGGTAACATTCACAGATTCTGGGGATTGGGATGAGGACATCTTTGGAGGCTATTATTCAGCCTACCACAATGGTATTCACAAAGCAGGAGGAGGCGAGTTGCACAATGGAAAAGCAGAAGAAGTAAAAAAGTTGTCGTCAAATAACATGGAACTGAATATTTAGCCAGTTGCTAGAGCTGAGACGTCCAAAATGATTCTCTTACAAATCCATCATCTTTACCTAAAATAGTGCTTGGCATATGTAGGTATGCAAGAAATATTTAGTGAATGGATGAATGAATACAGCTCCCCTTAGAGACTGCAGACAGCAGAAAATGAAAGTACTGTATCTGGTTAGAATGCTTTTTTTCACAAAGAAAAAAATAAATTCAATTTTTTTTCATCACTGTGTAACATTAAAACCACATAAGCAAGTGTGTTTTGAAACCTCAATTATAAAAAGGATTCTCCATTTCCGTTAAAGTGATTAATTCAGTTAAATGGGAAAATACAACAGTTAACAATGGAGGAGAAAAAATCAGCAGCATCCATTCCCAGGTAGACTCATCCAGTAATGCATTCATCTCTAAAGATGGAGAAAGAAGGAATACAGAAAACCACATTCTAAATGGGACCGTCCTCAATGATGGCCTGCCTCCAGCTTTTTATTTAGGTTGTCCACCAAACTACTACATCTGGCCACTACTTCTATAATGGTGGGTGGACTAAAGATATCATGCTAAATTCAGACTCCTGTTAGTGCAACGACCTGGGTGAATTCAGCAGTTTCAATTGGCACAAAACAGATCTGACTATGGAATAACAAAATCCCATCTCAGCTAAACCCTGGTTTAAAGCAGCATGAAAACCAGAATATTAAAAACAAACAAAAGATTCAAATCTGCCGAAGAAGCATTAGCATTTACTTGAAAATTTAGTTGTGATTTTAAGAACATCACGCCTGAAGATAATGATTTAACACAAACAGCAGCAGAAGGTTCATTTTCTTTTTTTGTTGTTGCTGGTCTTTGTTTGTTATTGAGGCATAACTGACATATGACATTTTATTAGTTTCAGGTGTACAATATAATGATTTTTGTATTTGTATATATTGTGAAATGGTCACCACAATAAGTCTAGTTAACATCTGTCACTATACATAGTTACAAAATTTTTTTTTCTTGTGATGAGAACTTGTAAGATCTACCCTCTTAGCAACTTTCAAATATGCAGTACAGTATTATTAACTATAGTCACCATGCTGTACATTACATCCCCATGATTTATTTTATAACTGGATATTTGTACCTTTTGAATCCCTTAACTCATTTCACACAGCCTCCACCCCTGCCTCTGACAACTATCAACCTGTTCTCTGTATCTATGATCTTGGTTTTTATTGTTGTTATTTTTTAGATTCCACATATAAGTAGGATCACACCATATTTGTCTTTTTCTGTCTGACTTACTTCACTTAGCATAATGCCCTCAAGGTCTATCCATGTTGTCACAAATGGCAAGATTTCATTCTTTCTTATAGATGAATAATATTCTCGTGTATATATATACCACATCTCCTTTATCCATTCATCTGTCAGGGAGCACTTAGGTTGTTTCCATTCCTTGGCTATTGTAAATAATGTTGCAATGAACATGGGGGCGCATATATATTTTTGAATTAGTGTTTTTATTTTCTTTGGATGACACTGAATTTTACCCCAAGCAAAGGAAGGAAATGATCAAATTTAATGATGAGAGCTCAAACAATGTAGATGTAATCTTTAAATTCTCTAACACTGAGCTTTGGAATATCTAGGCTTTTAAAATGAGTCTTTTGATGGAGCTCCTACTTTTAACTGGATAAATTTATATTCTTTATCTGAATGGAATGAACAAGAACATGCAATGGTTTTGCAGCATCTAAATTTGGCAAAATATTCAAAAGAATCATAAATAGAGAAAATTTGACATATTTTATCTTTGCAACCTATTTGTTGCTTAAGGCATTCTGATTGAGGGCAAAGGGACAGTACCCGTGAAAATATTTGGGTTGAAGTTTTACACATTTCACAACAAAAAAGCATTAGATTTTAGAATATACTCTATTTAGCAGAATTTGCCCCAAATTTACTAAGTCCCTTAGCACTAATAGAAAGAGTAGTTTCTCAGTTAAAAATATTATTGTCTACTGAGAAGAAGCAATTGAAGATGTCAACAACTGTAAATTTATTTACCATAAATTGCAACTTCAAAGATTACTGCAGGAAATTTTAAGAAAAAAATAAAAATAATAAGACCATCCCAAAAAATATACACTTCAGAAAATGTCAGTGACACAGTATTAGAGTGAGATGTCTAAGAAATTGATTAATGTACACAAATACGCACTAAAAAAATTATTCTGCTAGGGTTTTTTTAATGTTCAGATAATAAATATGATATTGATTAGATACATATTTTACTTTTTAGAAATAGGACTTTTTAAAAAATATTCTAGATTTTTATTTTTTAAAGAGAATTTTATCTTTGAAAATTATGTTTTTTTACAAGGAATTTTAATATCACAGAAAAACACCATTTGTAATAAGAAAAAAACCTGGATATATCTTTGCACATGTACTTTGATCACAAATATGATTTTAAAAATTGAAAAAAGACATCCTGGAAGTAAATGCACTAAAATATTCACTATGATTTTCTTGGGATGGTGAGATTATTTTTTGAAAATTGGTTTTGAATAGAATTATTTTATAGGTCCAACCAATATAATAAAATGAATTTGTTGGTCAATAAGTAAATATTTTAAAATATATATATAATTTTAATTACTTTTAGAACCCTCTTTCAAATGTGTCCTGTTTTGGAAAATAAATTATACAGTTACCCTACATATCTATATCCCCCTCTCTTTCCAAAGTTATGTTCCTTGAAGCCTCTTCTTCCTGATGGTCATCAGTTCTCCCAGGGTTTAGGCCTAAAGAGAGGACTTTTAAAATACAAAGAACCTACAACTCAACAACAAAAAAACAACCTGATTAAAAAATGGGCAAAGGACTTGAATAGACACTTCTCCAAAGAAAGTATACAAATGGCCAACTAGCACGTGAAAAGATGCTCAACATCACTAATCATTAAGGAAACCAAAACCACAATGAGATACCACATCAAACCCATTAGGATGGTTACTATTAAAAACAAAAACAGAAATGAGTGTCAGCAAAGATGTGGAGAAATCAGA